AAAGAATTAATGTACAATAATCCATTAGTTATGAATAAGAAGTGAGTTAATAAAGAAAAGAGAAAAAAGAAGATGAAGAGGTGTGTGGATTTAACAAGTCGCACATTGGACAATTAGTAGGAAGTGAGGGAGTATATAAGCTCACACCTCACTCTCTTAGATTGACCCTTGGGTCACTACATGTTTTATGTAGGGGGAGAAGCTAGGTGAGCTTTGCTCCCCCACGCGCGCACCGCCAGCTGACCGAGCTCAGCTCGGTTCGTAGTGTGTAATAAAAATAATTTTTTATTAAATAATTTTTTAATATTTTGTCCAAAAATGTATCCGTTGCTTCCCTCCAACCCAAACATTTTTACCCGCCGAACCGGTTCTTCCCCTTCGAGAACCAGTCACCGGTTGGCTGGCTCGGCTCGGTTCGTAGTGTGTAATAAAAATAATTTTTTATTAAATAATTTTTTAATATTTTGTCCAAAAATGTATCCGTTGCTTCCCTCCAACCCAAACGTTTTTACCCGCCGAACCGGTTCTTCCCCTTCGAGAACCAGTCACCGGTTGGCTGGCTCGGCTCGGTTCGTAGTGTGTAATAAAAATAATTTTTTATTAAATAATTTTTTAATATTTTGTCCAAAAATGTATCTGTTGCTTCCCTTTAACCCAAACGTTTTTACCCGCCGAACCGGTTCTTCCCATTCGTGAACCAGTCACCGGTTGTGTCTGCTCGCTGAACCGGTCACCGGTTGTACCTGTTCTTCGGAACGGTCACCGGTCGCATCGTCAGACACGGCGGTTCGCCGCCGGCGACTGTTCATCGTGACCGGTCAGTGTCTATAAATAGAGACACTGACACCTTCAGAAATTTATCCAGTTTTCTGTGCACTGAAACTCTGCCGGAATTTTTCTCCTTCCGATTTTGCATACTGCCTTTCATCCTCCGGTGTACTTTCCTCTGGCAATAGTTGTGTTCGTTTGGGCCGTTGATTGGTAGTGCCACCATTCTTCAGACGAAATCCGTTCTATCCTGGGAGACAAGTGTCCATCAACCTTTGGCATCTGTGAGGGGGCAAATTGTCTTAAGGAGACACGTTCTGTGGGCTTGGATTTTAATTCCTCTACTGCATACATTCATTCCTCTGATTCTGTCTGCTTTATCACACTCCTCAAGTAAGTCTGTATTAATTATTATAATTGCACAGTGATAAATCTGATCATCTACCTCCTCTGTTTATGCATGAGTTCAAATCTATTAGTGATGTAATATCACTCACTGTCTTCAACAACACAAACTGATAAAAAAAAATACAAAAAAACAAAACAAATAGTACTGCAAACAATGATTACGAAACATTTGTAAGGGTCTGAATGTTACTTTCGCATTTTTCTTCTAATGAAACAAAAACTTCGGAACTCAGTTTTTAATTTAAATAGGATATTTTTAGTTTTTGTTTTATTTTAACTAAAATATAAAGATGAACCATGGAGGACCACTTTTCATTGAGGACCGCTTTTCATAATTGAGGAGGATTGGGACATTTTAATGTTTGTTTTTCTAACTTGATTTCCAATTTTCCATATTGTTTGCTCCTTAGGTTAACATCTTACCATGGTTGGCGACTTGGCGTTATTATGTATAAAAACTTGCTAAGTTGTTGAGGGAGCGACTCTTGATTAGAGTTCTTAGAATCAGTTTAATCCGACGAGTCAATTCGATAAAATAGGTGAATTATACATTTTAATCCATCAACTCAACATAATCTGTTTCTTGTGTAGGTGGGTTAGAGGTGGATCAACTCGCTGGTTAATATTTTTTATTTTTATTTTACTTGTTATTTTTTGGAGTTACTCAACCCTAATTACTTCTTTGAGGCGAGTTGGCTCCTTCCGGTATCCCCACGAGCTTCGACTCTTTGAGCTGGCTATTTTTATTTTACTTGTTATTTTTATATATATCACATCATCTCCTCATTAATATATATTCATAATTTTAGTGTCATACATATTGCATATTTCACTTTATATTTGAAAATACTGTAGTTTTGTTGCAAAATTGCAACAGGTATGGTTGTTTGCAATTGTTAGTTATCTTAACAACTTAATTAAGATTGAACTCGACAAAACAAAAAGACAGGCATTTACATGCAAAATACTATCATTAAAGTAATTTTCTAATAATAATATTTTGTAAAAAGTTATACATTGACAAAAACTTCTCATTTAATTCCACAAATCATTAAATAAGATGTTGATCCCAATATAATTTCTTTATATGTATATTTTAATATTGGGGGCAGATATACTTACCACCAAAAAATTTATCACTCTTACAACCAACTTAATTACCGTTGATTTCCGTCAATCGAACAATTATAATTTATTGAGAATTAATAATTAATTAATAAATGTAGCTCGATATATATCATTAACTTCTGATAAATTATAACCATCAGATTAACGAAAATAATTTAAGTTGGTTGTAAGAGTGATAATTTTATTTTTTTTGTAGTAAGTGGATCCGTTCCCTTTAATATTAAAAGACATATTAAAATAAATATAATTTTTTTAGACGAGTTGACCCGCCAATCCCAAAACGAAGTGTGTTGATATTTTTAACCATCCCACTCACCAATATCGGGTCAACCAGCCCGCCCCATTTTTTACAAGTTGAAGGCATGGTGGGGATGGTCTATGCGTTTTTGCCAACTCTATGAAAAAAAAAACAATATAACTTATCATACTCATCAAATTCACATCAAGAAATTTTATATTTATATTGGTCATATTGAAAAAATAATATAACTTATCATACCCATCAAATTCACGTCAAGAAATTTTATATTCATATTGGCAATATTAAAAATCTGTAGCACAAATTTACTTACAATTAAAAGAAAAAACTTACCCTAGACCTACACTAAACAGAATTAAATCAAAGAGGCGTACAAAATAAACATCAATTGCACATATTTTTAATCTCTAATTCGGTTGACAAACTGTAAAAACTTGCTAATAAAAATTGTCAAACTACCACCATACTGAGGTATATGAGATTAAAAAAATAAAGAAAAAATTTCAAAAACCACCGTATGGTTTGCTCCCAAATCATTTAATCCTTGTATTTTTTTAAGGGTTCGCTTTTTCTACAGTCAATGTAGATAATTTATCTACATTGAACCCAAAATAACGTCGTTTTGAGGCGAAAATCAATGTATTTTTGTAATTATAATTTATTTCAGGGTTATAATCGTCCTTTTCATTATAATTTTTAAATTTTTAATTCAAAATGACGTCGTTTTGGGAGCAAATTTATATAACTTATCTACATTTACTTTAGAAACGTTAAATTCTTTTTTTAGTACTTATATTTTTTGTAGTTTTTTTTTCATTCAAGTCTATATTTAACATCGTTAAATATTAGGTTAACTTGTCCATTTTAACTCAAGTGAACAAGTAAAAAACACAGGGGAGAAGTAATTGATTAAAAAATATAAATACAGGGTAAGTGATATAGAATGTTAAATCGTAGGGGGGTTTTGAAATTTTTCCTTACAATAATTAAAAAGAAAGAAAAACTCGGAGTGAGAAAAATATTGTGCCAAATAAGCTAATGAGATATATGACTAATGTCAATAAATGGGGTCTTGTTCAACATCCACTATAACTTGTTGCTTAAGAAAATAATTGGAATTGAGATGATCATTGTTTTATTTTAATTTTATCCACTATATTTTTTTATAATATAACAGATTATTTTTTGTGCTCTATTTTTATTATTTTAATCTTCAGTTTTTAAATATTTTTTTATTTTATTAAAAAAAATAAATGAATAAAATAAACTATTAGTATAATAATAATAATTTTTTCTTTAGCAACCATATCTACATATATAACAATGATGCACTCAAATAGAACGGTCGACAAACAAAAAGACACATGTAGATGATATTTGAACAGAACACCATTCATTGCAATGATCATATAACTCATTGATTTGTTCAATTCAATATTGTTGCTTACGTGATTTTTTTTTTAATTATTGCAAGTGAAAAATTTAAATCCCCTGTGGTTTTATATTTTATCACCTACCTCCATTGTACTTTTTTTAATCACTTACCTATTCTGTGTTTTTTTTTCTGTTAGCATGGGTAAAATGGAATAATTAACCCTATTTAATAGTATTAAAGTGGAAATGAAAAAATTATCGGGAAAGCAAGTGATAGAAAAAAAAAAGATAGAGAGTTAAATGATACCATAGTATTTTAGGAACTTTTCCCAAAAATAAAATATGAGCATGTAACTTTTTTCTTACAAAATATTATTTTCTTTAAAAGAAATTGTTTGCACAATTTTTTAAGTTATTTTACTTATTATTTTTTCTGTTTATTTTTGTCTACCACCTTAAAACCTCATTAGATTAGAATCTTAACTAACATATATCTTTTTCTCTCTTCTTGAGATTATGATCTAACGATATTTTAAGATGGTTGAGAAAAGTAGATAAAAAAAATAATAGAAAAAATAACTTATCTTATTTTTTTAATAAAAAAGTTTGATGGAAATACTTGGTTACATTACATGTATTAATGTTGTCAGTATAAATCTATCATTATTCATAGAAAAATCAACCAGTACAGAAAAGAGTGAGGAAAAAATGATTAATTTATTGTACGATAATTGAGATCATCTCACATCAATTAATTACATTAAATGAGACATGAGAGAATCAGATGGATAGGGTAGGGGATAAAAATGAACTTAATTTGTTGGCTTACACTTTTGATTGAGTAGTTTTATTTTTGGAAAAATATATTAGGAGAGTATTTTTTTCTCGGGTCTCACACAAGATTATCCTTATAACAAAAGAGAGCTTCTCTTGTGTTGCATGAGATTAATAAAGCCTTTTATTTATTTATTCTCTAAAAAACACATGCTGGTTCGTTATAAGCAAGACAATGGAAGTTTTGCATTAAGAAAAAGAACCAAATTATCTGTCTGTAACTTAATCCATGGCTGCTGCTAGTGTTATGTTTTACATCTTCTTCTCCTCCTTAGCTTTGGTTGTTTTCACTTTACTTGTCAAGTCCCTTAGCAAACGAACCACAAATTGCAGCACCAAACTTCGATCCCCACCAAGCCCACCATCACTACCCATCATTGGCCACCTTCATCTTATAGGCTCAGTCATACCAAAATCATTCCAAACTCTAGCTCGCTCCTATGGCGCCCCTCTCATGCAACTCCAGCTAGGTGCCTCAACATGCATAGTTGTTTCCAATGCCCAAGTTGCAAAAGAAGTCATGAAAAACCATGACCTCAATTTCTGCAACCGACCCTTATTTGGATCCTCCGAACACTTCCTATATAAAGGGTCTTATTTCATCGTTGCCCCATATGGCCCTTATTGGCGGTTCGTGAAGAAGCTATGTGTGACTCAATTACTCTCAAGCTCGCAACTTGGCCGCTTCATTCACATCCGAGAGCAAGAGAGAAAGAAGCTTTTGAAATCTCTGTTCTTGTGTTCCACTGAAGCCAGAGCCTTGGATTTGTGTTTCGAGCTCACTTGTTTGACCAACAATATCCTATGTAGGATGGCTATGAGCACTACTTGCTTGGACAAAGCTAATGATGCTGAACAGATTCATGTCTTGGTTCGGGATTTTTTGCACGTTGGAGCTAAATTGAGCATGGGTGAGGTATTTGGAGTTTTGGGAAAGTTTGACTTATTTGGGTATGGGAAAAAGCTTTCCAAAATAGTAGGAAAATTCGACCAGATTCTGGAGAGAATCATGAAGGATCATGAAGAGAAAGAAGGAACAGGGGACATGATGGATATTATGTTACAAGTTTATAGAGATCCACATGCTGAAGTGAGGTTAACAAGGAATGATATCAAGGCTTTCTTCCTAGTAAGTTTTTTTTTTTTTAATTCATTTAAGACATAATTGTATTTGTATCATGATTTTATTGTCTACCGAACCATTTTAACCTCAAACCACCTTAAGGTGTTGGGTTACGATATGGTTTATATTATTTTTTAACATGCTCTTTACGTAAGAGCAGCTTTTTGAATTTTGAAGCGTGTATATTAGACAGACTCAATTTTTTATAGAAAAAATGTGTATCATTTCAAAGGATGTAAAATTGTGTTATTTTAAGTGAGAAAAAGAGATAGATAAATGAAAAGAGAGGGTAGACAAAAAAATATAAAGGTGTGAATCCCACCTCTTTATGAGAGTGAAATAACATAAGTTGTGTCATTTAAAAAGGCAAATACTTTTTCCATTTTTTATTAATTTAATTTTACTAAAAAGTAAGAAGGCGGTAAGAATCGAACCCGTAACTTTGTGGTAATTGAAACTCAAACTCTTATAGCATGAAAAAAAATCATTTCGACTCAAAACCTCAATATTAGGGGTGAGTGCTTTATATTATTTGTAACATGTACCTTATTAACACTTTCGATTTTGATTATACTTTTGTTTCGTGTGTCAAAATGCAAGGATATTTTCCTTGCGGGAACAGACACTTCTTCAGTGGCATCACAATGGACCATGGCAGAGATCATGAACAATCCACGAGTGTTAAAGAAGCTAAGGACAGAGATTGATGCAGTGGTGGGGACTAGCAGGTTGGTGAGTGAATCAGATGTTCCAAATTTACCTTACCTCCAAGCTATTGTGAAGGAAGTGTTAAGACTCCATCCACCAGCACCCTTTGCTCTTAGACAATCTATAGAAGACTGCAGAGTCAACGGCTATGATGTAAAGGGCCAGACCAGGACACTAATTAATGTCTATGCCATCATGAGGGACCCAGAAGCATGGGTCAACCCAGAGGAGTTTATACCGGAGAGGTTCTTGGAAGGGATCAACGGTGGAGCTGAACATGAGATTAAAATGAACGGTGATGATTTTAGGTATATTCCATTTGGGTTTGGCAGGAGGGGATGTCCTGGGGCTTCCCTTGCTTTAACGGCGATACATGTGACAATTGCAGCGTTGTTCCAATGTTTTGAATGGAAAATCAAAGGGGGAGATAAGGTTAATATCGAAGAAGGATCATCATTTTCTACAGGATTAGCAAAGCCTCTAGTTTGTTACCCTATCACTCGTTTTAATCCTTTTTAACTTTGAAGTTAGTGCATTTAATTTCCAGAAAATAATGCTGTTAGCACAATCAAAAGTACCAGGATTACCTCGCATAGTTGTGTTATATTTCCCTACCATATATTACATTGCTCAGCATGGTGTGTTTTATTGCACAATTCTTGGTGAAAATGTTTCTCACGAATTAATCCAGCAAAGGAATTATGATTTAAAATTAACTCACGTCATAATAACAGCGTTTCATGAAAAGACTATAGTTTCCCTTTTCTAAATAAAATAAAATCATTACTTGTCATCTTAATGTGATTCCTTTTTTTTAACTTGTATTTACAACTTCTGCCAAATAATTAAAGCGTCTCAATGGGCTTCCGTCAGTAAGCAATCTCTCTGTCTTGAGATTGATATCCTAATGCCAAAGGGTTAAGGAATAAGCCACACAAAAAACCAAGACAAAATGAGATTACTTAATCAAATAATTAATTAACTTAAATGGACAAATTAAGAAGAATTTGGGTTTTCATTATTCATATATTATTTTCATGAGATGCAACCCCACGAAAAATAAGTCCAAATAGAATTTTAGCCGTCCAGAACTCTCAACAAATTAAAAAGTATTAGAAATTCTTAATAGAAGTTTATTTTGATGCACTCACCACCATCATTCAATTACATATCAAATTTTTTTTAAAATTTTTTTCTCTTTTACAACCACCTTTAGCAAGTATAACTTCAGTAATAGTGTAAAAAAACTTTATGCTAATTGGAAATTGATTATCCTGCTACAGGTTTTGATATCGTCACCCTAAAAGCTAATTTAAAGAGTAAAAATACCTAAATTCTTATAAACCTCATATTAGTTGTCTATACAATCAATATGAGATTTGTAAGATATCCTCTTTGTAATAACTATATCAAGCTTTCATGTGATGCATCCTAACGAAAACTAGGTGACATAAGCTGATATCAAAAAAAAAAAAAAAACTAGGTGACATAAGCCGTACAAATTTCTCATTAAATTACAAATATATTAAATTTTAATAAGTACATCAAGCTTTCATGTGATGCAACCTAATAAATAATAGGTGCAAAGAAAATGTGATCGTACAGAATTCCCAGTAAATTAAAATTGTATTAGATATTTTTAATAAGAACGTCAACCTTCTGCTTCTATATATCAGTTTATATCTGTTTGCCATGTACATTGCTCCTCGTGATCTTTCGCCAAACAAGGATACCTCAACAATCGTACATACCCGTGATATATATATATATATATATATATATATATATATATATATATATATATGAAAAAATATTTTTGCAGCCACTTTAGATAAGGTTGTCTACAGCTACTTTTTTTTCACTAAGTACGACCGATCGTACATTAAAATTGCATTTTCTCTCTCCGCCACGTCAACCGACAATGTCTGAGGAAAGAGAAAAAAGAACAGCTTTATTGTTATAACTAAGTACGACCGGTCGTACTTAGTGAAAAATGGTAGCTGTAGACAACCTTATCTAAAGTGATTGTAGAAATACTTTTCCCATATATGTATATATATAAGACATGATCATTTGACATCAGTATCAAATTTAAAATTTGACACCTCATCTGAGAGCCGTTAGATCAAAAAAAATCAACGACTCTGATTTGTAAGCATATGACACCATTGATCTTTTTTTATCTAACGGCTCTCAAATGAGGTATCAAATTTCAAATTTGACACTGGTGTCAAAGGATCCTACCTCTAGAAATATATATATATATATATATATATATATATATATATATATATATATATATATATATATATTTGTGAAAATTAATGAGTTTAATTTGCAAAAATCATAACCGTTGATTGGCGAAAATCAACGGTTATGATATATGGTTGTAAAAAAAAAGGTTGTAAGTATAACCTCTCATATATATATATATATATATATATATATATATATATATATATATATATATATATATATATATATATATGAGGTAGGATCCTTTGACACCAGTGTCAAATTTCAAATTTGACACCTCATCTGAGAGCCCTTAGATCAAAAAAGATCAATGGTGTCACATGCTTGCAAATCAGAGTCGTTGTTCTTTTTTGATCTAACGGCTCTCAGATGAGGTGTCAAATTTAAAATTTGACACTGGTGTCAAAGGATACTACCGATATATATATATATATATATATATATATATATATATATATATATATATATATATCGGTTTATATATATTTACCATTAGAGCCGGCAAAACTGCTCGGCTCGGCGAATCCGCCCCACCTGCTAAATGGGGCGGAGAAGGCTGGATTTTTCAACCCATCTCAAAAGTTGGGCAGAGTGGGTCAGGCTCATTTTTTGGCGGGTTGATGACGAGCATAGATGGGCCGTGGTGGGTCAGTGTAAAATGGATTCGGGCTGGCAGGCCAATCCACCCAACCCGCCAAACTGGGCGGGACGAGCCAAGTTTTTCAGCCCACTTTCAAAAGCAGGGCAAGACGGGCTGACTCATTTTTTGGCAGAGTGGGCGAGGCGAGCAGGACGCCCACTTTGCCACCTCTATTCTATGATGCACCGACACTTCAAAATACCTGACGTATCGTGTCCGACACTTCCCGATACTTCTCGACACTCCGTCACTTCCCGACACTCCAACACACGTTGCAAAGACTCAAAAAAGAGTTCGAGAGTTGTGTCGTGTTGCATTTTTAGTTCTAACTACTAGATTCGTTAGATTATGATTACTTTTTATTGAGTTTAATATAAATATTTGAGATATCTTATGTTTCTTTGCAAAATTGATGGATATTATAAGTTTATTTTAATTTTTTTTGTTAAATTATTGAATATTAAATATAATATACACTACATAAACGTGTCCTAGCGTGTCAAAATATAACATTTTTTAGAATTAATGAGTCGAAGTGTCATGTCATATCTTACGTCCCGTGTCGATGCAACGTAGCCTCAGTTTGCCATATTGGTTTTTATACTTTCATGTTGAACGTACCTTTATTCGGCTTAGATGGTACAGACTAGAGTCCTCCAAATTCAGTTTTTGATTCCCAAACTTGAACCCAAATTTATTAAGGGGGTGTTTGGTAGGGATACTCAAGTAACTTGAAATGGTTTTTCAACTTGACTATGTTTGATACAAGAGTTACAAAAATTTAGGTACGAGAATCCTTTCTCCACGCAACGTGATTTATTTGCAAAATTTCTTGTTTTGCACTGTTTCAAAAGACCATATTGATAGTGGTATTTTGGGTTTGACAGGGAAAGAAAAAATGAGCGCTAAATTGCAGACGAAATTGTCCCTCATCTAAAGTGTCTTTCGACTCTCATTTGCAATAGGAAAAACAACACTCCTATTTGCTTGATTGACCTGAGATAAAAATTAATCTTTACACGTCATTTTTTATTCCTTGCTGATTCTCCTATCCTGTTGTTATCATTAGTTAGGGATAAAAAAATTTATTATAAGAATTCTATAAAGATATCTTCATCACAATTCAATTTACAGATCAACTCCTATTGAACCTTCAGACCACACACTCAAAAATTTTTACAAGTGTTATTTCCGTCATTTTAATCCATTTTTTCATCAATATTTTATCTTCAACTAAACATAGACTCAAAAAATTTAAGCCAATTTTTCTGATAATAATTTGACCTACCAAACAATTTTTTTTAAATTTTCATAACAAAATCACTTTCGCACTATATCCTTAGTAATTGTATTTGCCTAGTAAAAAAAAAATTCTACTCTACCAAACACCCTCTAACGAATATCTTGGGCCGACTTGTATTGTCCAAGGGTGGTACAAATGGTGATCTTTAAAAATGTATAATATATATTCTTGGGAAAAATTCACAAAAAAAAAAACAAATCTGTCTAAAAAAAACATAAAAAAATAGAAGAAAAAACACTCATATAAAAGACTAAAAAAAACAAATAGAAGAAAAAAAAATGTGTCTAAATAAAAAAATAGATTAAAGAAAAAAAATATAAGAAAAAAATGGCCAAATGTATTGAAAAATCATAATAGTGATAGAAAAACTAAAAATAAAAATAATTTGAATAAAAAAATAAAGAAAATGGATCGAATACAAAAAAGAAAGAAAAGAAAAAAAGAAGATCAAATATACCTAAATAAAAAAGAATAAAATAGACTGAGCAAAAAAATAAAAAATAAAAAGTAAGATCAAATATACTAAAAATTTACAGCACATATTTCTTTTTTTCTTTTATTTATATTTTATCTTATTTTTCTTCTATTTCTTTACAGCATGGATTTTTATTTCTTTTACATTTTATCTTTTATCTTAACTTTTTCTTCTATTTTTATCTTATTTTTCTTCTATTTTTTTTAAACTTTTTTAAATTTTATTTTTCAACATATTTGGTCTTATTTTTTCTTTTCTTTTTTGTCCTTAATCTATTTTATTTTATTTTAGTAGATGCATTTGATCTTTTTTTCCTTATATTTTTTTCTTTTAGTTTTTGATTAAGTGTTTTAAGTTTTCATAATATTTGGTCTTATTTTTATTTTTTTTATCACTCTATTTTCTTTTTCTAAGAAGGGTAAAATATGTATATTTAATTAAGCTTCTGATAGTGTTAAGGAAGGGTGTGGATGTGAAAAATCATCGGGGTAAGTGATTAAAACAAAATATAGCGGTGTATGTGATTCAAAGCAAAATCATTTAACAGAAGTTGCTGTCATTTGCAGCTTGATGATATATGAAATTGGGTCTATTATATAGACCAAGATTTACAATTGTTTACATCAGGAAATCAGCTAAACTTAAGGAACAGAAAGCATAAATCAAGCTAATCTATTTACATCAGGAAATCAGCTAAACTTAAGGAACAGAAAGCATAAATCAAGCTAATCTATTTACATCAGGAAATCAGCTAAAACTAAGGAACAGAAAGCATAAATCAAGCTAATCTATTTTAATATACAAGGTAACAAACCGTGATAGTTACAATCAGGATCCTAACAAAT